GAGCAAAATCGCAATCGTGAGGTTCGCCGCGTGCGCCCAGCCCGCGCCGATGCACTGCTTGGACGCGTCAAAGAGCCACACCTACGCATGAGCATGAGCCATGCGCCATGAACGTTCGCTTGTAGTACGTACGCGGAACGGGCGCTGCTGCTCTTCCTGCGTGGAATCCTGGAGAGGGCGATGGAATGAGCGACTCTTGAGAAAAGCTTGGCCCTATTCTTTGTGCGCTATACAGAGTATTTGTATGCAGAATTGATTTGGTTTTAAATCACTTGAAATGCGAGAGTGGTTGTCGCGAGCGCATGTCAGTTGGATGCAGCATGCTGGATGCTGGATACGCAAATTTTGCGCAAAGCCAAGGGGATGGGCGCAACCCATCGCGTCAAGAGAGGGTCCCGCCGTGACGTCAGCGACCCAGCATCGCGCCACGGCCGCCGACACCCTCCCTGCGTTTTCCATCGACCGCAACAGAGCGGATTCGGCTCTGGAATCCGAGATTCGTCGCAAATATTCGCACTCGCTGGCTCCAACCATGATCCATGATACGAACAGGTCCTCTCCTGTACTGCAACCAGTCATATTAGAAAGAGGGCATACATATATGCTGCCGGCGCAATCTACGACGACGGAGCCGTCGGCGGGTACGTGACGAGCGTAGCAGCCGTGCGCTACCGACGCTTCTTCATCGGTGGCAGCCGCGCCCACGTGTTGGCGATCGTGTCGTAGGCGTAAAACTCGCGCGACCAGACGCCCTTGGAGATGCCGCCGAGCGCATAGATGGTCGTGCCGGCCACGTCCGCGTCAAAGCAGTACCACTCGGGGAGCGGGAGGTTCGCCATCGTCACGTACGTATCGTCGGTCGGCGAGTAGCGCACGACGGACCGGCCGTGGAGGAGCACAAAGATGTGCTTGCCGATCGTGACCGCCGAGCATGGGCCCGCAATCGGCAGCGGCGCCTTGCGGCTCCACGTGTTGGTCGACGGGTCAAAGCACTCGACGACGTTCGAGTACCACTGCTTGTTTTCGTGGTCGTGGTCGTCGGCGTTGCCGCCAAACACGTAGAGCTTGCCGTCGTGCGCGGTGGCACCGAGGAGCCGGCGCGGCACCTCCATGGGCGCCAAGGTTTCGCAACCACGTCGTACTTTTCGAGACGGGCGAGCACTTGAAGCCGTTGACCCAGCCGCCAGCGCAGTAAATGCTCTTGGTCTCGGGGATGTAGACGACCGCGAGCGCGTGGCGGTACGTGGTCATGGGCGCAATCTGCGACCACGTCGCCGCCGAGACGTCGAACTTTTCGCACGTCGCGAGGTTGGAGCGGAAGCCGCCGCCGCCGAGCACAAAGAGCTCGGTGCCAACGCCGACCGCGCCGTGCGAACCCCGGTTCTCGAGCATGGACGGGACGCTTTCCCAGCAGTTGCGTGCAAACGAGTAGCGCTCGACGGACCCGAGCGTCTTGCCGCAGAGGCGACCACCCGTGACATAGTAGTACAAGTCGGTCGTCTCGGCCGTCGGCACGGTCGCTTCGACGTCGGCGACGTACGTCATGTTGACTGCGCAGTCCTTGATGTGGCGGAAGAGCTGGTTGCGCGAGGTAAACGTGCTGGCGTCACATGTCTCGCACGCGAGGATGGGCGCCGTCGTCTGGATCGTGGCGGGCGGCGGCGACGACATGGCTCTCTCTTCGGTCGAAGGATGAGGCGGCTCGATTTGGTTGGCCGCAATATATCCGGATATTCTGCGTGCTCATTGGCCACCAATTGTGTTTGTGACATGCGTGACGTGGCACGCGGAGCCGTCAGTATTTGTTTGGAGCCATTTTTTGCCTCGGGCTCGTCGACGGAACGCGGTTGTGCAGTGGTGACAACTCCTCTGTCACCGCCTTCGAGTGATGGTCGGAGCCGCAATGTGTGCGGTTTCGATCCGGCCCGTGGCCTGTGGCCATCGGGATAATGAAGTAATAACAGGCTTTCTTTCGCTTCCTTGTCAGTGCATTGTCAATGAGCGGTCTGCAGCGTCGGCCCTTCGAACCCGACGACACATCAAACGCTGAGATGGCGAGTGCTCGCCAAAAGCAAGATTTTGTCAATAGTAGTGTTTAGGGCAGTTGGCAAATTTAGCAAATCGAGAGACTACATGCATAGTAGTTTTGAAATGTTGTGCGCATTGCGGGCCTCGAGTGACAGCACTGACAGCACATATTTGGGCTTGCGCCGCTTCGTCGTGGTGGCTGCGGCGTCATCGCCAGGAACAAGAAACACCAACGATGGTGAACCCCAGCCATTAGCCTTGGCCTAGCCCTACAGATCGACACATAAATAGTATCTACCAACTGTATCTATCTATCCATCTTTCCATCCACCTCCAACGTCCAATTTCAAGGGATATATATATTAGGTCATGGTGTTCAAGTGCTGGAGCGTCGGCCTTAATTGTACCCTTCTTAGTACGGGTACGGCACAGCGATGAGTGGCAAGTCGAGGTTGCGCAGGCGGACGCACGCGAGGAGGCGCTCGGGCAGCTCTTCCATCGTTGCACCTTCCAGCACAAACCCAAGGTCGATGACGAGGTCCTGCGAGTAGCTGAGGAGGAGTCGGCAGAGGCCGGACGCGACTGTGCTGCTCGCAATGTCATAGTCGATTTCACAAAAG